CCTTGATGTTTTTGTAGATACAGACTAACACGGCTACCCCCTGATACTTGACACCATGCACATGACTGGTTTTGTTACCTGCTGGTTTTGTTTTCCTCCAGAAGAAAGAAGCTGATTACAAGGATCACATTCCTGTTTATGAAAATTCTCTGGTGGGTTCTGTGTTACCTTCCAATGACATCAGTTCTTTCCCCCTCCTTTTCAGGGTTGTTCTTGGTTCTTCAGCAGACCTCAGTGCTGATCTTCAGGATCCAGTCTCTGACAGATTCTTCAAGGAGGTGTGGGTTTCAACAGCTGCCCGCAATGCCACGATTTTTGACAAGGTGAAGTACCTGGCTCGTTTTCTCTTTTTGCTTCACTGTTGATAGATGTAAAGGAGAGAAGCAACATTTTGGTTTTGTGGGAGAGGGACTGGTGGGGCGAGAGGGTTCAATCTCTAGATCTCATCAAGATGTTTTGAATACTGAAATTACACAAGCTATGAGCAGCAAAAGGCCACATCAGCTGAAGGGTTTTCTTTTGGCATAACTTTTTGGACCCTTAAATACCGTTGGCAGGCAAGCAAGGTAGCAACTCTGATTGTCCTCTCATTTATATACTGATTTTACAGAGTATTGTAGTTCCAATTTCTGGAGCTCTTGATTTACATCAGCATGTGTTAGGAGAGAATTGGGCCCTGTAAGAAAGAATCATCTATTTGCCCGTATGCAAAGCAAGGCTCACTGATAAAGCAAACTCACTATTGCTAATTTTGGATAATCTCCTGGAGGGATCAGGAAAAGTCCCCAGAATCCTAATTTGCAAACTCCAGTCTTTTGCGATTGCTGTACAGATTTTCTCACAAAGGCGGGTGTACAAATTGTTAAGCTCCCCAGGGTCCATTAGCCAATTCACTTAAATATATATGAAGGTGTTTACAGTAGCATCAGTTTCCACTGTGGAATGCATGTCGTGATATTTTCCTCTATGTTTATGTGCCACCTCCTCTTTCCATTTCAAATCAGGTGTTCCGATGCCTTCCCAGTGATGAAGTGACTAATTTAGCCCAGCTGCGTGACTTCATTGCCAAGTCAAAATTGGTAACCCAAGATGCTGCAAAAGCAGCAGAAGAATTAAAGAAGATTCATGGATTTCTAGTGCAATTCCCCTTTCGTTTCCTGGATGAAGAAAACTTGCTGCCTTCTGTTGGAACAAAAGAATCCATGGTGCCCATGGAAGTTTGGACTTAGGATTATTTAGACTTTAAAGTCTGGTTTCTTGGAGACAGTTTGCATACCTGATGATTTCAGGAAGCTTTGTATTGCCAAGGTAGCCACCAAAAAGGTCTCCATCAAACTAATGTGCCTTTCTTAAGGATTTTGGTGGAACAGCTTCAGACAAAATGACACTGTTATGGGGAGGGAAAGAAAATTTGGCACTTATGATCATTGACAAGTTCTATTAATTGAAAAGAACAATACTTCTTTACAGACATATTCTAAGCACCTTAAAGATGCAGGCCACTCCTATGAAGGGAGACAAATCATAATGTATATTACTACTGCCAGCGTGATCATACATGTACAGTGATTGTGATACCCAGGAGTTGTAGGCTGTTTGTGCTTTCTAAATCTTTGTGTGCTCGCACTTTATTATTTAGCTGGAGTTACCCTCTTCATCATCTCTGTTTTGTATCCCCTCAAGTATTCCCTCACTGCTTACACCTCCATAATGGTTGGGAAACGTTGCCTGAGGCCAACTCAGGTGTTCCTATGATCATTGCCTATCGAGCTTAGATGTTACATTGCATATATGGCAAAAGACTAACACTCTTATGTCAGAATCAGTGGTGCTGTCTGTCTCCTGGCCCCAGGGGAAAACATTGGTTTTTTTACTACAACTACAGCAATCAACATTCCTCATGCTCAGCATGGCACTGTGTAGATCTCCGTGAGGGGCAATCCCTAATGGAGATTGAGGTGATGGGAATCTCTTGAATTCTGTTTTTTCAGGGTTTGCAGAACTTGTTTGAGTTCAGCAACTCTTTTTCTTACTATCTAAACTATAATTTTTTCCCCAAGGGAGAATCAACTTTTTAACCCTACATTTTTCTAGCTGAAGGAAATCCTGCTGCTATGTATTAGGGAGACGAGAATCCCAAAAGCTAGGTTGGCAAAGCTGGGTCCTCTGTTTGGATCACAGAGCTGTGGGTATACACTGCATTAAATTCTTAGCGCTTTCCCCTGCTTCCTTTTCCACTGTTTCACCTATAAGGAACAAGAACCTAGTAACAGTTGAGTCAGAGTTGAAATTTTGAGCTGACGATGTTCAAGGTTGATCAAAAAGAACAGGAGTACTTGTGGCACCTTAGAGACTAACAAATTTATTAGTCTCTAAGGTGCCACAAGTACTCCTGTTCTTTTTGCGGATACAGACTAACACGGCTGCTACTCTGAAAGGTTGATCCAAGTTACTCATACTGAGTTCGATCACCCTCCAGAGGCTAGTGGGGAGATAGCACTGAACTTCTCTCTGGGACCAGCTCCAGTAATGGGAAGACATGGTTTTGAACAGTCTCTGCAATGCAGAAATGTGACTCCATGTCATCTGAGGGATTGATAAACTCACTCTACATGGTCAATCTTTTTGCTTTCCATTTACTAATACGAGTGGCACAATTAATAAGAAACTCAGAACACTGGGTTCCTATCTGGAGAGAGTGAGAAGCTGAGACTCCCATCTCTGAATGCAGAATGTTAACTGATTCAGTGGGAGTGCCATTCACCAAGCAAGGGCAAATGTGGCCCATAATCTGTGATCCAGTAAAAGCCTTCACTATACCTTATACATAAGGCTTACGAACTTTCATTGCAATTTTTCTCTTTGCTAAAAAATTCCAATGATTATAAGTAAATTTGTACCTTAAAAAAAAAAAAAAGTTTGACAGGCTTCCAACATGCATTCATTAGTTTATAAAAAAAATCATGGCACCCTTTTGAAAGATATGTGCCAACTGTGTTTTGGGCATATCTTACATTTAAGCTGATTGCTCTATATATTTTAAGAAATGTAATTCGGCATAGCGTCATTTTCCAACACTACATCACATTAATAAGTAACAAACACTAACATTCCTCAAGGGCAGCCCAAGTCCGAACTAGTTGCTATGTTTTGTGTTCCTTCATGCTCATATTTTATAGATGCAATTAATTAGTGATATGGACAGGACTCACAACCATTCCTTATATTCGGTGAACCAGTGGTCTATTTAATGTGTCAGTAGTGCATGCACAGCTTTTATGAAGTAAACTGCAATGTGTTTATAGGTACTGTGATTTTGTGAAGTGCACTGCAGATAACTAGATTCCCTCAAGATTTGTTGAGTATTGTTATTTAAAATCATATTTGTTGTTTAAAATGGGACACAGGGCTGACCTGCCAGCTCCTGTGCTAGAGAAATATGCTATCAGGTAACCACCGCAAAGCTAGGAAACTAAAACATCAAAATACGTTTGCTTTTAACACTAGCCTAAGGCTTTTAATGTCACGCAAAAAACTGTTGGCCATTTTTAGTTTGAACAAAACTGCCAATATGAAATGATTATAGCCTGCCACATATTACCATTAAACCACACAAGTATAGAGTCATAGTTGAAAGAGGCCCAAACCAGAACAGCATATTCATTCACACCAGACCTACAACCAAACTTAAAGAAGCATGTAATGCTCCTATCATCTTCTATCTGTCTAGATGCTCATATGGCTCCTATCACCATAGTACCTGAGCATCTCATGATCGTTCCTGAATCCTTACAGCACCTCTTTGAAGTGGTATTGAAACTTTGTGGCTTCATAGGTAACGTGACCCGGATTGTCTTTCCGAAACTGCAATGCAGCTGACGTGCAAAACCCAAGCCATGAGGCGTTTGCCCATCTCAGATGATGTTAGGGGTCTGATGTCAACCCATACAGCCCAGGAATTTTGAATTAGTATTGAAACACCATTCTTAATCCACCCCCTTTGTACTATACATTGGCTTTGCAGCATTTGCGGCATATAAAATACCTCATTACTTGAAGATCTTGCCACTGCCTGAAAACAGAGGGTGGATTCACCCTTGCGCATAGAGTTAGCACAGGATCTATGCAGCCCTTTAAATAAGGCTTAAATAGAATTAAAGTAATGTATAGGCATTGCCCTGGCTCTCTGCACAGGAGTGAATTCTGCTCCGTGTGAAAGGATAGGCTAAGAAATTCTTCATTTTGAATTTCCCTGATTTTGTTGGTTGCCAGACTCTTGACGTTAACGGAACACCTTTATTTTATTTTCCTTTCTGGATGGAGGGAAAAGAAAGAAATATTAAGAAGAAGAAGAAAGCCAAGACAAAACTTTGCCATTCCCCATACTCTGGGGAATTGATGCATCTTGAAATTCAATATTTTTCAATGGAGTCATTCAAATGCTGCCAAAATTCTGGAATCCTCTTACACTCTTAGGCCCTGACTCTGCAAGCTGCTCAGTATGGATGGGCACCTACGTCCATGAATAGTTCCATTGATTCCAGTGAAGATTCACACTACGAGTCCAGGGTTCACAAATGCAGAACAACTTGCAGTATCAAGGTACATTACAGTACACGGGCCTAACGAGTAGTCACAAGAGGAAGTATTCTGCTCTGTAGCCTTTACAGTGCAATATGTGCCCTCACATCATTCTTCTTACATATTCACAGCCTACACAGAAGTTGGTGTCTTTTGTGAATGGCTGTTAATTAGACTTTTCTTTCACATGCTTTGAGGCCACAGCAGGGGTGATGTTTAACACCTGGTCTCTGCACATAAACAGTCACCACTCTTTAGTCCTTAATAGCCTGGCGGTTTTACTTTTACTTTGAATACCCAAAGCAAATCATGGCGTAATCATTTGCAAATGTACGGTACTGTAAGCAGTGATGCTGTTTTTAGTGATAGTAGTTCCTGAAATATGTGAACTGTTTTTGTGTCTTTTATTTTTAAAAAATTGTAAAAAAAAAGAGGAAAAAATCTCCTCCAGACTCAGATTTTATATTTCATGATTCAACCTGGATGGAAGATTTATGGTGGCTATTCCTAAGCAGGTGCCAGTACGAGAATTCAGCGTCACTTCTTACCAGGCCTGTATATATTTTTAAAGAACGGGATATTTTAATATATGTTTTGTTGTATAGCTGCAGGATTGGACTTACTTTTTAGCATAGAAAATTATGCATGGTAAAAAAAAAAACCATGAAAAATAAGATTTTCGTAATCTAAGCACTTGATTATTAAAATAATTTGTACCAAAAAAGCCACCCATTGCTATGCAGGACATCCCGGACTTTTGGCTCAGCTTCTGGGCTTGTACTCCCCACTAGCTGACGCTGAGCGTGCGCAAGGGCAGCGCACTTAAGGTATGTCTACACTGCAGCTGGGAGTGAAGCTCCCAACCCGGCAGACAGACTCACGCTAGTGGACTCAAGCTAAGCTGTGGACATTGTAGCTCAGGATGGGGTCTCAAGTCCCCCTAGGCTTGACAGCCCATGCCACAAAGTTCATGCTGCTATTTTTAGCATGCTAGCTCAAGTCCTGCTAGAATGAGTCTGTCTGCCCAGGTTGGGAGGCTAGTTCCTAGCTGCAACGTCGACATACCCCTAAGGTCTAATCCTGTCTTCAAGGAAAGAGGCTTGCCATTGGCTGACATGACAACAGGATCAGTCCCAAGGGAAGGAAGTGCCTTTTGTCACTCGGTGTCCTCTCTGGCCTTTGAGCAAGCAGCACAGACAGCCTTGGAAGGGAGTCCAGCAACATTTTAGCTTAGGCCAGGTCTACACTAAAAACTTTTGCCCATACAATAATGTCGACGAGCGGTGTGATTTTTTTTTTAAATGATATTTTTATACCAGCAAAAGCCCTAGTGTAGATGCTGGTAAACCGGCAAAAGCATATTTTTGCCGGTAGAAGCTGTGCCCACACTAGGAGGTTTGTCAGTATAGCTATACTGGCATAACTATGCCAGCAAACCTTTTCTAGTATAGACTAAACCTCAGAAGCATGGTGGCTAGGACAGCAAGATGAAATGTAAGAGCAATTAGAAATGGGAGGGATTCATAAACTATAACAGGAATTTGGGTAAACTCCTGGGATCTATCCCAGAAGCGCTGCTGGGGAATGACCCCAGTGAAGGTGATGAGAGTTCTGGTGGGGACTGGCACCAGAGAAGGATCAATATAGCTGTACATTTCCTTTGTCATATTAGGATCCAGGCATATTTTTAAAATTAATTTCAAGTTTTAGGCCGTAATCTTACAGCCCTTCTTCTGTCCCATTGCCTTCAGCGGGAGTTTTGCTTAAGTGAAGACTGCACGATTTGCCCTCTCTGATATTTTTAATGTATCCTTCTACTCAAATTATGTGATTATCTGCCTTAAAAGGAGACATCTACATTTTTATAGGTGTTTGTACAGTTATTACACAGTATGAGCGTTTTATTTAAAAATCAAGCAGAGGCAGTTTTGGGACATATGAAAAAAAGTCGGTATGACCCTTTACAGTGTAAAGTTTACACAACTGCTTTTGGTTTACTTTTGGTTTTTTCACAACTTAGGGCCAGCTCCGCTGTTGGTGTAAATTAACATAGCTCCATTGACCTCAGTGAAGTTCCACCATTTCAGAACCAGCAGAGATTTGGCCCAGCGTGCCTCCTGACCTCTGATACGCGCAAAGCAAGAGCCGGTACGGTGCCATCTTAGGTGTGCAATAGGACAATGTGGGCATCTGCCATACTAGCCACAGGGCTCTTCTCACCCATGCTGAGCCCCACCGAAATCCAGACCCTTGTAGATTCAGGGTGGTAGTTAGGAGTGTAACTCCATTGCAGTGAATGAATGTTAGGGTGACCAGACAGCAAGTGTGAAAAATCGGGAGGGGGCGTGGGGGATAATAGGAGCCTATATAAGAAAAAGACCCAAAAATCGGGACTGTCCCTACAAAATCGGGACATCTGGTCACCCTAATGAATGTATTCAATGTAAAACCAGTGTAAATTAGATAGAATTAGGCCCACAGACTGTAAATCTAAAACTGAATGCAATAGTACTTTTTTTTTTGGCCTTCTTTTCTTTTTTCTTTTCAAGCACTTGTGATCAGTTCATTTTTAACCTACCAGTGCAGTTTCATAAAATAACATAGATACTGTGAGTAATTCGTATTTATCTGGCTCTATCCTGACATGCAGGAAATGAGATCGTTTTTAAATTCACAGGTCAAGAAATGTACAAGGTTCCGCTAACTAAACTAATGGATAAAACAAGAGCTTCCAAAATATTTGTGCTTCAGACGTACAAGGTTGACGTGATTCCGAATCGCTGTACTTCTCCGCTTTAGAGTGATAAAATTGTGAACACATTGACTGCTCCTTCTGTGAAGGGTTTTGAATTGACAGTTTTGTGTCCCTGTTTCTGCTAATGGCTGTTCCCTTCCCTATCCATTACTGTATTTGGTAAATAGATATGTATTAAGTGATTTAAATATAATGTATCAGAAACATTTGGGTGATGACTTTTCATTTTAAATGGCTTTTGGAATGATCATTTTGCAAGCCGTGGACCTAATTCTGCTTTTGCACCAAATGAAGAAAACTTCCTTGGCAATCAGTGGATCTCCATGGCAGTGTAAAGACAAAGCAGACTCGGGGTGAAAAAATTATTACAAATGCAGCCCAAGATAAAGTTACCACTGGGACAAGGGGATTGCTAACTTGTCTATAGTCAATGAAAACCAATATATTTTAAATTTATATTATATGCTATAAGAACCCTGAGGTCTAGAACCAGGGTGTGTGGGGTTCCCGGCAGCCACTACATCCTTGTTGCAACCAGGAACCCAGTCAGGGCTGTCACCAAGAAGTACTGCAGGAAGTCCTACCTAAGAGGCAGGAATGGCAGCCCTCTGCAATTCCCTGATTGGGTGGCACTCCCTATATAAACCAGGAAGCCATTTCTGGGAGTTTTTTGAGCAAAGCAGATCTTTGGTGTGTGCTTCTGCCCTAGAATCTTCCTCACCAATCCTTCCTGTGACTCACCTTGATCCTGGCTCTTGACTTTGGCTCAGCTCCTGACCCTGATCTTGGTTTACTGACTTTGGCTTAGGACCATTACTAGGGTGATCAGATGTCCCGTTTTTAAAGGGACAGTCCCGTTTTCTGGGACTTTTTCTTATATAGGCACCTATTACCCCCCACCCCCGTCCCATTTTTTCACAGTTGCTATCTGGTGACCCTAACCATTACTGACCCCAGTGAAGAACCCTGGCCCAGCCTCATCCTGATTCTCATTCCATGCTCGCAGTTTGGTAATGGACTCTGACTTTGCAGTTTGATCTGCTGTGGCCCTGAATTGATCTCTGACCTTGGGTCTGATACTGAGCAGCTCACTTTGTGCCCACAAACTGTCCATGACCCGGCCCTGACAACTACACTCAAATCAGGCCCCAAATTTAGATTTTATGAATATGAGCTTTGTCACACAGTAGAAATACTGTTTAAGTCAGTATTTCTCAACTGGTGGGTCCCATCCTGTAGGAGGTCACAAAAGGCAATCACCGGTTGTGAAGCATTGAAACTTTTATTACCATCTAAAGCAAAGAAAATCTTGCTCCGCTCATACTCTCCCTCATCAAGGTCAAGTATTCTTTGTCAACCTCTCAAAATACACACCAATGAATTATATGAGCTGCGCATTGTTACCATTTTTTACTCTCACTTTTATAATAAAATAAATGTAAGGGGATTGTGAAAAATTTGACTTTGAATAAGAGGTGGCCAACCTGAAAAGGTTCAGAAACATTGGTTTAAGGTAGCTAATGGAAATATTTTTTTAAAACTGCCCTATGGTGGTTGCACCCCAAACATTTTAGCCCCGAGAACCTGAAAGTGAAGCTTACTATGGGAGAGTCAGGATAGCCTAGTGAATAGGGCATTGGATTGTGACTTTGAAGACCTAGATTATAGTCCCAGTTAGTCTACTTGCCAGCTGGTTGACCTTGGCCAGGTCAAGTCACCGCTTTGTGCCTCAGTTTCCCCATCTGTAAAATGGGGATAATAGTAGTAATGTCCTTTGTAAAGCACATTGAGTGCTACTGATGAAAAGCACTGCATAAGAGCTAGGTATTATTATTATTATACACAAAAGTGAAGCTGACTTCACTGAGGTTGCTTTGTCCAAGCTGAGAGAAACAGCAAAAGTAAAACAACACAGATGGGAAAATTTGACTTCTATTTTAATAATCCAAAGGTACATCTGCAAGGAAATTTGTCTCTTTCTAACATGGCTCTTAAATTGTCTGTCCATTTTAAAGCCGAATAAAGGAAGCTCTGAGTTGAGAGAGAAAGGAGCAGGGTCTTGCTGACCTCCATGAACAAAGCAGCCATGGCATATTCAAACCCTTTTGCAAAAACAAAAGCGTGCTAATTCTCTGTTTCTTATGCTTTACCCGCCCTTCCAGTGCCCCAAGGCTATCTCTGACTTCAAACCTTTCCAATACAATCTGTTCCCTGGATAAACACAATAAACCAAGATAAGGCAGCAAGGCCTTTCAATGAGGCAGGATGCGGCTGGGACTAAAGTAAGCAGCTCTTGATTGACACCTTAAGCCTTTTCTGCCCTGACTTCTAAATCTCACAGCTAATTATATGCTTCCTGCATCAAACTTCTATGATCTTGGAAGTGAAGATAACAGAGAAGAACAATAGTAACACTGAGGCCTGTCAGTCACTTCTCGGTCATGGAAGGATTGGCTGGAGATGTTGCAATGATTATTATTAATGTACTGTGGACACGCTTAAAAAGTCAGTGTTTGTCTACAGCAACCACAGTTATTTCCTATTCGAAGTGCAGGCGAAATCTGTGCTATCTCAATGTGCAGTCATGTTGGTGTAGAACTAGTGTACAAGAAGAAACTACCCTGAATCGAGAGTTAGGGCCTGACTGTCATTTATAGCAAGGCCTCTTTATACCGATGTAAAGCAGTCTTAGGGCTGGTCTACACTGGGGGGGGAGGGGAGGGCGGCGGCGGCGGGGCGGTGATCGATCTAAGATATGCAACTTCAGCTACACTATTCGCGTAGCTGAAG